GCAGATGACACAACCTTGCTTGCTGAAAGTGAAGAGGACTTGAAGCACTTACTGATGAAGATCAAAGACTACAGCCTTCAGTATGGATTACACATCACCTAGAGAAAACAAAAATCCTCACAACTGGACAAATAAGCAACATTCTGATAAACAGAGAAAAGATAAAAGTTGTCAAGGATGTCATTTTACTTCGATCCACAATCAATACCCATGGAAGCAGCAGGCAAGAAATTAAATGACATACTGCATTGGACAAATATGCTGCAAAGACCTCTTTTAAAGTATTAAAAATCAAAGATGTCACCTTGAGGACTAAGGTAGGCCTGACCCAAGCCATGCCATTTTCAACTGCCTCATATGCATGCAAAAGCTGGACAATGAAAAAGGAAGACTGAAGAAGAATTGATGCATCTGAATTGCAGTGTTGGCGAAGAATACTGAATATACCATGCCACAAGAACAAACAAATCTGTCTTGGAAGAAGTGAGGAGGGCAAGACTTCATCTCACAACTTTGGACATGTTATCAGGAGCGACCAGTCCCTGGAGAATAACATCATGCTTGGTAAAGTAAAGGGTCAGTGAAGAAGAGGAACACCCTCAACAAGATGTACTGACACCGTGGTGGCAACAATGGGCTCTAACACAGCAAGGATTATGAGGATGGTGCAGGACTGGACAGTGTTTCATTCTGTTGTGCACAGGTTGCTATGAGTCGAAACCGACTCAACGGCACCTAACAACAACATCATATTAGTGAGAAGAAACTGTTCTCTTCTCACCATTCCAGTCCTTTCTCCCAAGTCTAGTCTATGCTGAGCAAAGTTTTCACAAACTTCTTTGGAGAATATGGAAGGCAAAAAGGAACAGATTTAGGATGGAAGAAAAATATAATTATGAATGAAATGCTTAGAAATATCAGTACCTTCCTACCTCCTTTCATTACTCACAACAACCAAAAAAGGCAAAGAAAGACCTTTACAAGGGGGAAAAATGGAGTCAGAAATCATATGGGAAATATGATATCATCAAAATTTAATGACAGAGTTGTTATTTTATTTAAAATGACAATATGTATAATATGCCTATCATTATAATATTTTAGTTTTGTTAGCTAAACTCAGATAGTATGAAACTTCAACTGGACTTCAAAAAAACCTTGTATTAAAAGAATGATTTGTTCAATTTTGACTCCCTTGAATAAACTTTATTCTCAAATTGCTCACATATATTTCTCTTCCAAAGTGAATCTTCGTATTTGTTTATACTAAGGGTGTATAAAAACCATCTTTTTAAGTTTGAAAGCATTATGCCAAATGAAATAAGTTAGTAATAAAAGGACAATACTGTATGGTCTCACTTATATAAAATATCTAAAATAGACAAATGTACAAAGATCAAAACTCATTAGTTGTTACCACTGGTGGGAAGGAGGGGGAAGGGGAAGTAGTTGTTTAGGGGACACTGAGCTTCCATTATGGGTGATGGAAAAATGTGGAAATGGCAAATGTTTTGTTCTATATTTTTACCACATAAAAAAACCTCATCTCTGTACCTCTTAAATATATTATGAAATACTGATTATATAAAATGCTAAGATTAAGTATCCTTTAAGACCAAGAACTGGCAACTATAAAAAAAATTTACATGGAATATTTACTTTAAAAAATGTATAAAATACAGAGCTCCAAAATGTAAACTCAAATACATATCCTGATTAGTAATCTAAACCAGCAGCTTTAGTCATGCAAACCTGGTTACTCATGACTACAAATACATCAGAGCTACAAGAAGATAATAAAATATATCCGTGATATTATGGAAATACTAGATATTATTCAAAGACCAGTATTATATACAGCTTTTTACCTCCAAGAAATATCATTTAAATTACTTCTGAAATTACACAGGATGATTTACTGAGATTTTCAATTATGAAAAAAATTTAGAGTGAAAAGTGGATGTGCTATACTGTCTATTACCAAAAACAGTACCAATAGATCATTCCAAACGCCTCCTTGAATTACTGCATTTACTGAATATGATATTAGATTAAAACTAGTTTGACATTGAAATTCTAACTCTGCTAATATTCAGATATGTAGAGCCTTCTCCCCAAATCTACAATGCCTCAAAGTAAATAGAAAAGTTACTTCCTCAGATACACTTTTGATTATTTTGGTAATTTTAAGAGCATTTTCATTAAAGCATTAAGCCACAATTTAAAGCAAACTAAGTCTCAAATATCACAGTTTTGTACTCAATTATCATTATAAGAAAGAAGACGTATGATTCATCAAACATCACCATTCCATCTTAATGTAAAATATATACTGTGAAAGGGAGAGAATCTCCAAAATGAACCACTTTACCTATTCACTAACAAAATAATTATAAAACTTTGTTCACATGTATTGAAAAAAAGGAACTGACACG